AAAATAAGACAAATCTAGGATTTTGGGGATAGCTCAAATAGCTTCAACAGAAGGTTTTCTTCTTTTACAGTCTTTTTAATCCATTACTTAATTGTTCATATCTCATATCTGATAAATATTTGAGATTAACATGACACATCACTATGTTCTCTCCCATCCTAAAGTATACAATATTCTTGTCTATAATATCTTTATCAATGTATATTTTCTTGTGATACTGTATACTTCCCCAAATTTGGAATAGCTGGCAGTCTATCTTTAACACCTTTTACCACTTCTTGAAATCTTCCCATCTAGCAAATCCTACATTATTCAACATCCCCTCCCAGGTCGCTTTACTGCATGTCCCTTCTTTTTTTTTTTTCTTCAAGTTCATTGCTGTGGTATTACTAGATCACTAGATACCAGGGTCAGTTTTAGGGTAGCAATATAGATCAGTGGTTCTCAACCTTTTTAATGCCGCGACCCCAACCGGTGGTAAGTCGAGGACTAAACCGGGTCCTAAGTCAAGGACTAAACCGGTCGTAAGTCGAGGACTACCCAACCGGTCGTAAGTCGAGGACTTTCCCTGCCCGGGAGCGCCACGCATGCGTGGTTCCGCCCCCTGAGCCGGCCGAGGCGTAGCTGGCAAGCGGCAGAGACGGAGCAGGCCGACCACCAGCTGGCCCAGCTCAAGGGAAGTAAGGCACCCGCCGGAAAAGGGGGAAAAAATGGCAGACAAAAAATGGCGGACAGCCTTGCTTGGCGACCCCCGTGAAATGGTCGATCGACCCCAAATGGGGTCCCGACCCACAGGTTGAGAACCACTGGAATAGATGGTTTTTATCACATAATCTGAAATGTTATCTTTTTTCTGAAAAACCTCTTTTGTTTCATGGCATACAATCACTTTCTTTTTCTTGGAGATTTTATTTATTTAATTAATATCATCCAAATTGTGCAGGTGGTGCTTCCTCTGTGACATTACAACTTACTTTGATTTAGGAAATGATTATTTGATTCAGTTTTATTTCTTTATTTAAGCCACTTCCATTACAATCAATCTTTGACACTGAAGAGAAATTCATAGAAGAAATTGAATGAATAAATCATTTTTCTCCCAAGAGTTTTTTCATTGTCACAATATAATTAAAATAGTCACATCTTTAACACATTAACTATTCAACATTTCTAGCCATTTATGGATGTGATTATCTCATTATCTTATACCTAGAGTTCTTCATTCTCAAAGGCAACAAATAGCAGACGATTACACAATTACTTATTCTGTCCTTTTAAAAAAAAATGCTGAACAGATGTTCAAGCTGTTCTGTGATTATTTTCTACTAATGATCCAACTCTGGAAAGAAGTAGCATTATGCTATTTATGGAATTACTGAGTGATTAAGCTTCTTGAAAAGGTGTCTTACAAGAGATAAAGATGTTTAGGGTAAAAACAACAAATAAAATCTACAATTTCTCTGCATTATTTATTATAAGCTGATTTTGTTTTGGTCTCAATTCTCATTCTTGGTGCTCCATGCTTTAATGCATGGAAATTTTTTTATTGCACTGGGAAATGGCAAATAGCAATAAAAAAATTTTATTGCACTGGGAAATGGCAAATAGCTCCCCCTACAAATTTGGGGGGGAGCTATTTGCCATTTCCCAGTGCAATAAAAAAATTTCCACAAACCTAACAGTGCATACAATTGGTTCAGAGGGAGGGAGGGAGAGGAAGGAAGGAAGGAAGGAAGGAAGGAAGGAAGGAAGGAAGGAAGGAAGGAAGGAAGGAAGGAAGGAAGGAAGGAAGGAAGGAAAACTTTAATGGCAAACTCTTACAATAAATATTTGAAAACAGTTCAAGCTGCATTCAGTTATCCTGAACTTATATCTATAATATTTCTTCCAAGGCTTCCAATTACATAAATGAAACAACTACAGCACAATTACTGGAATTAAAGATTATATACTGAAAAGAGTTCCAGAAATGACAAGACTTTAATAAAATAGATGAGGTCCACATTGTCAGCATATCTCTTCTCAGAGTAAACTATTTTTTGCTGATAGCAACATAAATTAGATATTTCTAATAATTATTGTTTAGATAAACAGCTTTTCTACAAATAGTTTTTTATGGAAAAGGTTTGACACCTTTCAAATATTTGAAATCATGTTGTATTTTCAGAATTTTCTGAAATCAACTGTAGGAGGTAGCATCACCAATGTGCCTGATCCCTAAAAAAAGCTAAGTCAGCTTAAACCTGTTTAGTTCTTGGAGAAGAGACCATTGGAAAATTCAAAGTCTTTATAAGCTTAAAATCAATGGGTATTACAAAAAGGTGTCAATAGTAAACCACTTTCATGGTGTCACCAAGAAAACTAAATGGATGTTTCTATATGGTCATCAGGAGTTGAATTCAACCAGATGGGGTCTTTATATTTACTTCACTTATATTCTCAGAAAAAATATTTAAAATAATCAACTTCTTTGGAATTAGAGTTTGTCAAGTTTTCTTATACTGTCAAATACAGTGTTATTAAAAACAACCATGTAAGGATCTGCTTAGAAAAAATGCTAAGAGAAAGATCTCTGCTACTGATGCTTGTTTCAAGTCCAATCCTTCTACACTGTTCATGAAATAAGCAAACACCTACTAAAAAGCACTCAATAGTGTTCTTTCATAGTAAATCTTCTACACAGTGAACTTCATTTCAAGGTTAGTTTTATTTTCTGTTTATTTGATCATGCAAATATTGTGCACTTTTAGTTAACATGTCTAAAGACAAAGTTTGCTGTGATTGAATAAACAGATTTAAATGTCTTATATTCAATTTTTATGGCACTCAGAGATAAACTCCATATTCAAACAATAAGGATGGAGCAGAACACCAAAATAGTGACACAGATTCCATACCCCCCACCCCCACTGCTGAAGTTCATGTTTACTATTTCATATATTCACCACGACCATCCAGTCTTCTCCATCAAAAGGCATACCAGAGAAATAAAACAATTATCACTATAATTAATACATTCTAAAGTGGCATGAGAGTGTTAATTGCAAAAGAACCCCAGAGTCAGCAATAGCAATAAGCACTTAAGACTTATATACCACTTCACAGTGCTTTACAATCCTCTCTAAGCAATTTACAGAGTCAGCATATTGTCCCCAACAATCTGGGTCCTCATTTTACCAACCTCAGAAGAATGGATGGCTGAGTCAACTTTGAGCCGGTGAGAATCGAACTGTTGAACTGCTGGCAGTCGGCAGTCAGCAGAATTAGCCTGTAGTACTGACAGCTGCATTCTAACCAGTACACTGCTCTTGTCAGATTAAGACAGCTCCAAACCAGATGGGGTAATCTCAGTTTACCTTCTCTTAGCACGCTAAGTATCCAACTTAGAAACAATTCATTAAAAAAAAATACTGCATACACTGTATGCATTTCAGAAGGCCCAGAATGCTCCTATATAACGAATCCAAGAATTACACTGGCTATCCAACAAGCAGACCCAAAACTCCAAGGAAACAGTCTTAACTTTCGATCAGCTATTAGTCCCAACAAATACAGTATCCTGCAATACAGTACAAACTATATCTAATATCTACAGAAGGTAAGGCCCAAGATAATGAGGTTGACAAGAGCCAATCCCTGATCCCAAACTTTGGGATTGATAGCCAATTAGCAAGCTCCCAGCATTACAGTCCAGTATTATAATATTTCACCCCTTTTGAGATCTTTCATCTCAGGCAGAATATGGGGAAAAGTTACCGGTGAGAGAGAATAAGTCACAGGCAGCTGTAGGATCTGCTCAGTTGCAATAAAAATAGGGTCTTTTTTCCTATAACTAGTGGATCAATGTTATAATAATCTCTCTGTAAAGCATTCTGCATGGGACTACAAACATGCTAACACTTGTCTGCCCCTCCTTCCTCACCCCTAGCTCCTTTCAATTTCTCTCTCATATAAAGTTTCTTCTTTCCTCACCTGCACTCATTAATCCCCTACTTCTCCCACCCCTCTATCACGATTAATGCTGTACTCCGGCATTCCTTTCTCCCATGCAGGAGCTTTCTAACCAGGCAAGTTATGTTACCCCCCCCTCCACTTCCTCCTCCTCCTCCCCGCTGACCTTCAAGACCCACCATTCCCAACAAGCGGATACATGCCTCCTCGCCCGATCAACTTCTTCCCTCTTCCTTCCCCCCCCCCCCCAATACTTCCAAAAAGTGGAGGGCGAGCGCCTTCCCCCCCCCCCCCAAGTTCCTCCCGGAATACTTTCCGTCTAGCCCATAATCCGCGCCTTCTCGCCTCAACGAACTTTTCGGGTTGGAGGGGGGGGGAGGAGAGGCCACTAATTAAAATGTTCTCCCATCCTTTCACCGCTTTACGTCCAACACCGCCCTCCAAGCACGCCCCGCTGCCCCGAGGCCCGGAGAGAGAGAGAGAGAGAGACCCGAGTCCCAGCCTCTTCCCGCTTCAAAATGTGTTTTTTTTTTCCCAAGCATAGCGAGAGGGGATAATTTTGCCCCGCTCGTCACCGGGAGGGCCGACCTTCCACGCCTCTAGGCGCCCACTTTCCCCGGCTTTAGCCCTCTCGGCGACCTAAGCTGCCAGGCCCTCTTGCGCCCGCGGCCCTCCTCGCCCTCCCTCTCAGCCTTTACGCCTCCGCCCCGTCGCCCGCCTGCTCCCCCCAACCGTGGGCCGGCGGCCTCGGGAACACCCGCCCCACGCAACTCTCTGGCGGATCAGCTCCCCCAGCCTCGCCTCACGCCCGGGACCTCTCCGCAGCTGCCCACCCCGAAAGAGCAGCCGCTCCCGGCCAGAGCCCGCTCGTCCCAGCGCCCCTCGGGCTGCGCTGTGCCCGCCGGAGGCAAGGTCTCCCCTGCTGCCCACTCGCGCTTCTCCTGCGACGCCGCTCAGCCGCCGGCTTCCCCTCAGCCTCAAAGCAGGGGAGCCCTCCGACCCAGGGCAGCGCAGCGCAGCGCCCCGGTCCCGCGCCTTGTCCGCCTTACCCCAGAACCACGAGCTCTCCATATTTGACGGGCTCCTTGTTGGGCGCGCAGTGCTCCTCCTGGCTAGGAGAAAACATGGGGCCACCGCCACGGTTGTCGTCGTCGTCGTCGTCGTCCTCGCTATAATCCCATGCGGGTCAAAAATGGCATTCACCAAAAGAATAGCAATAATAATAGTCATCAAACAGGACGTTTGGCTGCAGACCTTTCCTTCATAGTGGCGGAGCGAGCCAGCGGTCGGTCGGTCGGTCGGGCGAAATTACGGGTTGCCTTTGCTTGGTGCGCCCGCCGACGCGGACCCTTCGCTTCCCCTCACAGCGTTCAAGCCAAGAGCGACAGACAAGACTGCCCGAAGGGGGATGAGGAGAGACCAACTAGCGCCTACCCAGAAAGGAGGCGTGGAACGGCCCCTCCTCTCGGCTGTCTCCGGCCCTTCCACGCTCCCCTCGCCTTGCGTCAAAAACCGTGATGGTATCTTCCAGTCTGTTATGTAAACATAGAGTACGAAAAGGGAAAGGGGGAAGTTCTTAAAGGGCTGCTGCCCTGTAAAATCAATGTTCCCTTCATAAGAAAAGACAGGAGTTGTCTGGCGCCGCCTACCGGAGGCTTTGTTCCTCTCTCTCTCTCTCTGCAAAAGCCTGTCTACAATAATTGACTACTGTACTGTAAGGAGTTTTTTCTGCCTCGAATAGGTCGGCAGGAGATTACGGTACTTAGTACTTAGTGAATATGAGCTTAAGTTAAGAGTGGAGAAAGAAAGTAATATGTAAGTAATTTGGGGAGCTCACTGCCACAAGGTATGGTTGTGACCATTGTTCTATCTAATATAAAGGAGAAGATACACATATAACTCTAGAATCTGAGTAGTAACCACGTTACTCTAGCTCAGGGGTAGTCAACCTTGGCTCTTTTATGACTCGTGGACTTCAATTCCCAGAATTCCTGAGCCAGCTTAGCTGGCTCAGGAATTCTGGGAGTTGAAGTCCACGAGTCATAAAAGAGCCAAGGTTGACTACCCCTGCTCTAGCTGAAAGAAAGACCAATTCTTTAGTATCTTTGAGGTCAACAAATGTATAACAGCAAAATATTTTGTGGACTGTACAACAGTAGTATGAAGTATTACTCTGAAATAAGTTTAGAAAGTGAAACAGTGAAGATAAAGATAAATTAAATAGAGAAGGTAAAACGGTAATTTTAGTGGTGGCTGTACATAAATTTATTTATTAGATTTTATCCCACCTTTATAAGTTACCCAAGCCAGCAAACATACCTAATGCTCTTTCATCTTCCTATTTTCCCTCACAACAACAACCCTGTGAGGTGGATTGGGTTGGGAGTGGCTGACCCTAAGTCAACCAGCCGCTTTTCATACTAAGGCAGAATTAGAACTCACAATCTTCTGGTTTCTAGGCCAGCACCTTAATCAGTACACCAAATTGGGTGTGATTGGGTATTGTTGCATATAATACCAAGAAACATTCATTGATGCAAATACTGTAGATTGTGGCTCAAAAAAAAACCCGTTTCTCTGTTTAAGCCAATGAGAGAGAGAGAATCCATTCACTGTACCTTGGCTATTTCATCTTGACATCTGTCTTTGAAGTTCAAAAATGCCCACATTAAAGTAAATGACAATCCAGAGAACTTTGTCCGTTGTTTTTTAATCTTGTCGTTTTTGGGGGTCAGATATGTGGCCATTCAGTATTGCAGTGAGGTATTCCATATTACTGTTACTGTGGAGATAAAATTAATGCAAAAATTTCATACAGTGAATGACATTTATCATTACCAATGAATCTAAGATTTAGTGAGTCTTAGACTGGTAACTTTTTGTAAATAATTAGAACTTCTGGAATAGTGATCGTATAAAGTAGTGTTTCTCAAATGTGACAATCTTTCTCAACCCTGGCATGCTGGCTGAGAAATTTTGGGAGTTGAAGTCCACATACATTTTCAAAGTGCCAAGATTGAGAAACTTTGCTATAAAGTGTTAGTTCTTGAGGAAGCACAGAAGGAAAGGGATCTGGTTTTCAGGCCATAAGTTGAGCTTTTCTGCACTACTCAGTTGGCATCCATGGAGAACGAGGCAGCCTCAGTCAGATCTTTACCAATATTTGCACATAAAATAGACATGCAGCACTTACACAGTGTGCACCTTCCTTTCACAGTCCTTCAAAAGCAATTTCACCCTGAGGTCTGCTTCATTGCTGCCAACTATAAAAAATGAGAAAGCCTTCAGCCAATTCTTCCAGCAGAAGAATATCATTCAGTCCATAGTCACCCCACATCTTTCATTTGCATTTTCTTTTCCTTATCTTATGTTTATTTGTCTCTTTAGCTCTCAGATTTCTTATTCTTTGTCTGTGCTCTGCATAATGTAGCTTAATCATGTGGAAATTATGTGATGGGCATGTATGCATGTATGCGTTTCTATCCACAGAACTACACTATTCCTCCTTTTGCAGAATGAGCAACTTGTTGGCTGACAAAATGCATGCAATTCCCACCCATCCTCCTACACCTACTTTTTTACAATTCATTATGATCTCTGTGTTAAATTTCAACAACAAATTGATAAGGGATGGAGATGCAATTTCCTATCATTTTTCTGTAGAAAACTCCTGAAAACAAATATAAATTCTAGTTTAAACAGTCCTTTCCCTGCAAAAACAAGCAACAAATAAACTAAAACAACTCTAAAAATCTCAACACCACCTAAAATGGGGCCATCTCCTTCATAAGGCAACCAGAGCAGCCACATACAGCATCTTTTTTCTGCAGGGTCTTCATGTTGTTGCCTTCATCACACCCCCAGTCTATAACTGAAACAGGCTTAGGTCACCATATTAGTGATAGAGGATTATTTTCCCTCTTATTCCATCACAGTCTAAGGGTAACTTCAACATGTATAGCATTAGTTAGGCTTCATCACCTTGGAGGCCAAAGCAGCAGTCAGTTGAAAGAGAGAAACTGAGGTAGTGTAAGGGATCAAAAAAGGGAATAGCAGTTTTCAAGTTAGGAGGTTTTCTGCTGACTCAAACAAGAAAGGAGAGCACTTTGGTTCAGTAATGGGGGAAGACCCTTTGTGGATGTCACTGCATCCGCTCTCCAAAGTGCTACTTCCAGACACCCAAAAGTTGTCCTTACCTGCTCTATGTCGTTTGAAATCTACAGCCTAATTTTGGGGACAAGGTCACTTAATGTGACACACAAGAAGTATTTGCCACCTGAGTCAGTTGTTTCAGTTGGTTTAATGGTAGGTCTACTTTTAGCCTAATCAAAATTCCAGTCATCTAACCAATATCCTAAGCCTGGCAGCTATAGGATTTAAATGGATCCTCTCCTGGCACCCATGTTCTCATGATATCAGTCTGCAAGGTTTCTTTTAAAGATATAGCAGTATCTGGGAAAAGAAACCTACAGTTGGCAGATCATATGGTTTTCAAAGCCGATGCCCATTTAAATTCACCCCAGCTTGTCTGGGGATCATTCTGTTGAACATGCAGCTAAAAGTAAAACACATCTTCTCTGGATTGTAATTTATCAGCAATTGGAAATGACATTATGAAGTCTCACCCACCTATTCAATTTTGTCTTCTGAGACTAAAATAAATTGTCTTAACTGCCAGCTTCTTTGTTCAGGGAGGGTTTTTTTTAAAGAACACTCTATTTTTATTAACACTCTAAAAATGTTTTAAATCCATGTTTCCACTTTGGAGTCATTTATATGCTGTTTAATCTTTTTATTTTAGCTTTTTTTTCTCTTTAAGGATTTGTCTGTGCAAATGGCTATTTTCTCTTTAAAAGGAACGCTTTCTCTTCATCTTTCCATTTTGCACACTACTGGATAAAAGCAATCAATTAATGTCTAGCTGAAACATGTTTAAGTACCTATCTTTAGCCTATTTTATTTTGTTTTTCAGAAGTGATTATCTAAGATAGAAAGTTTTGTCTTTGTCTTGCACTATTTAATTCTTTAAAACCTGAAGTGCTGAATATATTTGAACATTGGCTATTTAATGTTCAAATTGGCATGTAAAATCCATAACCTCCCTCTGTGCCATTACTTAGGATCCAGTGGTACACAGTCATCTCTGTTGCTTGTCAGATTTAGTTCTTCCTGTTCATAGGTCTGGGATAACGTTTTCCCCAACCCCACCTCTTCATCCAATTCCATTTATTAACAATGTGCTTCTTCCTCTACTTTTTTTTCACTCTCTACTTCTTCTTCTCTTCTCTTCTCTTCAGATTTCCAGTTTATTTCCCAGTGACTTATTTTCATTTAGCCCATTGAAATAACTTCCTCCTTCTTGCTTTGCTTGCTTTCAGATTAAATACCTTCATATCTAGACATTGTGTTATAGCAGCCCTGCCCTCACATTCTACAGAAATTGATCTTAGATTTTAGATAATTAAAAGGTTCCTGATTTTTTGCGCAATGCACAATAGCCCTACCAGGCATTACTTGAAAAAAAAACAGGTATATCTATTATCTAAAACAGGGGTCCCCAACCCCCGGTCCGTGGACTAGCACTGGGCTATGGCATGCCAGAAACCAGTCTGCAAAAACAAGCATCTGTGGGATGCAGGTTGTACATGAACCCACGCACCCTCCAGTCCACAGAAAAACTCTCTCCACCGAACTGGTCCCTGTGCTTAAAAGGTTCGAGACCTCTGATCTAAAACACTGGTACTGCATGTAAATCATGAGTACCAGCTTATTTCTGAGATTCCTGAATGCAGGAATTGGGAATTCTAGTTTAATGAAAAGAAGAACTAGGGGTGACATAACAGCAGTGTTCCAATATCTAAGGGACTGCCACAAAGAAGAGGGGGTCAAGCTATTCTCCAAAGCCCCCGAAGGCAGGACAAGAAGCAATGGATGGAAACTAATCAAGGAGAAGCAACCTAGAAATTTCCTGACTGTGAGAACAATTAATCAGTGGAACGACTTGCCTCCAGAGGTTGTGGGTGCTGCAACACTGGAGGCTTTTAAGAAGAGATTGGACAGCCATTTGTCTGAAATGGTACAGGGTCTCCTGCTTAAGCAGGAAGTTGGACTAGAAGACCTCCAAGGTCCCTTCCAAT